TATTTGAATGTAGTGCGCTACCTCCTCATCAGTCGCCCCCTTGCTGCGCAGTATTTTGTCATATTGGTTCCTAGCTGAGTCACTGCGGGCTTTAACAGCGGGGGAAGATCAGTGACTGACAGAAAAGCAGCTGGTAAAGTGGCTTTCCCCTCTCACCCTAAACACACTCTCAGATACTGTACATAGTACACACAGAGGCTTACTGTACACACACTTTTTTTTTTTAACAAATTTCTTCCTGTATGTAGTGTTTGTCTCCAGACTCAGAGGCTGTTGTCCAGGTAAAAGAGGCATTGTTGGACAGATGTCATCATGGTCATATACAGTACAGTATTTATGCGATGGACACACAGAAACACACATTTGTATGTGTAAGACAGAGAGAAAGAAATACCAGGAAGAAAGTGAAAGTGAACAGGCATTTTCAGTGTGTAATTAAAGGAAGGCACTCACTGGAGCAGTGGTGCTGGTAAAGGGTGTGCCTCCTCTCAGACACCCTTTACTAACCAAATGAAGGTTAGTAGGACAGATCAGACAGATTTAAAGGAGACATATTATGCTACTTTTTAGGCTCATACTTGTATTTTGGGTTTCTGCTCGACCATGTTAACATGCTTTAATGTTCAGAACAATCCCTCATTTCATCACCTGTCCTAAAAAAGTCCAGTCTGTTCTGATTGGTCAGCATATCCTAGACTTCCATAGCTGCACACTTTGTGTCTCTGCATTTTTTACCTACGTAAATCCACCAGTGAAGATAAACAGGTAAAACTTGATTTTGAGTACGTGTGAAATATATCTGCTGAAGCCAAAACTTTAAGTAAACTTGCCAAGAGATGGATTGCAGCCATTTAAGACAGGCCAATAAAAAATAATGTCATGACACGATAAAGGTGGAGAAGTTTCCTTGTGCCTTCCGGACACAGAACGATAAGGTTTAGCTTTCAAGGCAGGGTAAGCTCACAGCTCACCTCCCTCTGCTGTAGCCCAACCATGTGTGTGTGTGCCTCTGAAAATTCCTTATCATAGCTGCCAGAGCAGTTTTGCTGCCTCTCTGGTTTGAACGTGCTCTGCAGCGATGCTTTGCTGCAGTTCTCATTTGGCTGCTCAGGTGAACGTGTGTGTTCAGGATAGGAATGTACCACACAGTACAGGTAAAACAAACAGTCACGTATCAAGTATTTACTTAGTCGGTGCCAGTAGCCTAAACAGAACCTTTTAGTGTTATCTGCTGAACAAATATTTTCTTTAACATAGACACAAACATGTTGCCTTACAGCCTTCATTGCCAAATCCATATCCTCATATTTTTGACTAATTTGATAAACACTTTATTAGTTTGAATAGTTTTTAAAGAAAAAAAAGGTCAGAATTCTCTGATACCAGATTCATAAATGGAAATATTTTCTGGTTTATTTACTCATCTATGACAGCAAACTGAATGTCTTTGGGTTGGGGACAAACCAAGAAATTCAAAGACGTCATCATGGTCTTTGGGAAACATTGATTGACATTGATTTTTTTTACCATTTTCTGTCATTTTATAGGCCAAAAAACGGATTGATATATTGAGAAAATATTCAACAGATAAATCAGTAATGAACATAATCATAAGTTATAACCCTGTCCAGAGAGAAATAGATTTTGCTTAAAAAAAAAATCAATCAATAAAATCCTTCTGTGGCACTAAAAGACAGGAATTTATTTGACTGACACTGGCACTGTATTACAAGCAATTTTACAAATACAATTAATGTGTAATAAAGTGATGTAAAACACAAGAGAATACTGTAATATTGCAGCAGATCTGAGAGAGAAATCACTAAAAGACAAAGTGGCCATCAGGATGACATCCAAAAAGCCAGTAAACTGATGTCTCAATCTCATTGTTGTGCGATTAATGCAGAGGATAGAGTTGACCTTTGTGAGAGAGTCCTGTCTTCTGCTCTGGATATTAATACTCTCCCCATTTGGAGTCAGAATTATGATGTCAAACATTAGGGGTGATGTTCACTTTGCAAAGCAAGAAACTCTCGCATTGACTTTCATGTTACCCTGCTAATGACTTTGAGTTTTACAGGCTCGCAGCACAAAGTGAGCACAGTCTAACTGCAGAGGTTTAAGGATGTCGATCAATACGAGTGACTCAACAATTGCAATTCACTTTTGGAAAGTATTCAGCCAATATCCTTTGATTTGGAGCCGTTATGTTGCTGTCAATACTTGCTTTTGTCATGTTTATTTGACAGCTTTTAAATTGTACATAATGTGTGTGACTCATGTTGCTGATGTCATGTTGACTTTGTTGTTTTCTTGGACTGACGTTGCAGAATGACGTGTTTAATAAAGCTCCGCTCCCCTCATTTACATTGATTCTCTCGTCTTTTGTCACTTTTTTATTGTCCGTCCGTCAAATCACCTTGTTTCTCTGGTTGTCCCTTCATACTCACACAATTGCAGTTCCTCTCTCAAACTTTTTTTGTGTGTGTGTGTGTGTGTGTGTGTGTGCACACAGAAAGATTGGGTAGGAGAGAAAGAGGGCATACATAATTTAGGCTGCTAGGCTGAAGCTTGTCTGTGCCAACGTGCAGATCTGGACCAGAATTCACTCAGATCTCCTCCCTGCTCACTTGTCCTTGCAGCTGTCCTCTCGAAAACATATTTACTGGAATTGTCTTGATGTTGTCATTATGTTGAGGAGAAGTGTCAGTGTTTGGTGAAAACCTTTAATTAACTTTTTTGCAACTAAGAGTAGCCATGTGTTTTTTCTGATGACAGTCATTTTGGATGAACTGTTGATGTTTTTAAACTATTGTACATCCGTTAAAGGGACCGATTACACCAAAATCAAATATACATACTTTTCTTCTTACCTGCAGTCATATTTTATCAGTCTCGATTGTTTTGTTGTAAGTTGCAGAGGTTTGGAGATATCGTTCGTGGAGATGTCTGCCTTCTCCAATAAAATAGAACTGTTGTGTAAAGCACTTTGAATTACTTTGTGTACGAATTGTGCTCTACAAATAAACTTGCCTTGCCTTGCCTTGCTAGATGGCACTCGACTTGTGGTGCTCAAAGCGCCAAAAAATACATTTCAGTAAGGAACACCTTAGTCAAAGAAAACTTTATTTCCATTTGCAGTATTCTATTTGGCGGTATGGCTCTGTTCTGGGGCCACAGAAAGCCTCTTCCACACACCTGCATTGAAAGCCGTAAGGCAGAGAGAGCACACTTCTCTGCCCTTCCATGTGCCTACAAAGAAAGCCAGGCGGGTTACAAGGTGGCTTGCAGAGGAGTAACAGTAGGCAGTGGATGCATGCCTCCTTTTGCAGGGTAGTATGGTTGGCGGGTGTAGTTTGGTAGAAAGAAAATAGTATGAAATAATATGAAACTGCTCACAACAAGGTCTGTGGATTATCTTGAGTAACCGGGTCATTATTTCTGGAAAGAGACATTGATTTAAAAAATATATACACATCTTTTTTGACACTCCACACGACGCACCACAAACCAAGTGCGATCTATTTCCATTGTACTCGAGAGAAAAAGGCAGACATGCATATAGGTAATACTTCACATTAAAACAAGAAATACAGAGTTTACAGCATCCCTATAGAATGTTGTTTGGGAGCACAAAATATGTGCTAAGAGACTTCTCTTCTCTCACTCTCTCTGTTTCCCTCCTCTCATTTTTCAAGCTACAACTTTACTCCTATCTGTATGCTAACATTAGAGGGCAGCTCCACGCCCCAGGCCTGCTAGGTTTTCTGTGTTTTGAAACCCCCAAACGTGTGGGCTGATCATTAAATGTCTGCCTCTCATTCTGTCCCCTCTGGACAGCACAGTGCCTTTACCTCACATGACCTGCCAAGGTGACAAAGATGCTGAGCCACTGGCTGCATGAAACTATCTGAATAGGGAGATGTGTGTAAGGTAGACAGGGAGGCTTTTTGTGTGTGTTTAGAGGAAAGGTGTGAAAAGCTGTGACAGGCCACAGAGTGCTTAACCATTTCCTTTTACAGGAGAGAGATGTGCTGCTCCAATGCTGGGTGCTGTGGTGTGTGTTGTTTGTCTTGTTTCATGTCTCTTTGATGAACCTTCTTCTTCATGGTTTCTGACTCGTGTTAGACCCAGCCCTAGACTGCGGGGTGCACAGATTCCATGGGATGCAGCCAGTTTCAGGTTGCATGCTTACATATAATATGATGCTCTCCCCCGTCTAAGAGATGAAGTGTTTTGTTTCTGTATGAATTAATGAAAATTTAGGTTTTACTCCACTGCTCCGTCTGTGCCCAGAATATGCTCTGAGCTCCAAGAGTGTGGTGCTCTGAATAACAAAACAGTATGTTCCAACAGTGCTCTGAATTAACGAATGGTCAAGATTGTGCTAGAGTGTGCTCTGGTGCTCTGAGTTACAATTTACAAAGGCACCCAATGTGTTTCAGAGAGAAAGAGGGAGGCGTGCAGCTCCAAAATAGAAATCAGTATGTGGCAGTGACTGGTGATGTTATGGCAGGCTGCCACAAATAAATTAATATGTGGGAGGACACCATGGAGGTAAAGCATTTAAGCTACAAACACACTCAATCAGGAAGTAGGATCCTTGTGGCCTGAGGGTAGACGCTCTTCCTGAGCCTCCTGTGCAGTTGTTCGGGAGACTATAGCTGTGTTCTCCATTTAAAAACAACCACCTTCCTCTGAGTGATGCCGTGCTCATGTGTTTGGTGTGTGAGCCCAGTTACTTGCTGTTTACTTATTCCTGTCACAGTTAAAGGGCAGGACAAACTCTGTTAGCTCTCTCAAACATTGATCACTTAAACCTGATTATGTCTGTAGTTCATTTCTTCTGATTGTTTCTGATTGGATCTTGTGTGTGTGTGTGTGTGTGTGTGTGTGTGTGTGTGTGTGTGTGTGTGTGTGTGTGTGTGTTCGAGAGAGAAACGGAGAGAGGTGAAACGATTGTTGATTAATGAATCATCTCTCTGCTTTTGTCTTCTCAGGACCCAGATTAACTTCACCGTGGCCATTGATTTCACAGCTTCCAATGGTGAGCCTCACAGTCAACACACACACACATACACAGACTTTGAATGAGCACACATACACACATTGAGAGACCTGCATAAAGGCACAAAAAGTGCCCCGAAAGCCAAGGGAGCGTTTATTCAAATATATGCAGATGGGGAATCAAGTGTTTCCTAATAGCCCTCTCCATCACACCTGGCAGCTAGAGCTGAGTGCAGTAACAGGCTACGATAGCTGTGATTAAGGACTCTGTTATCCATCTACCCTTGAGCTTGGTCCTGGCAGGACAGGAGGCGGCAATAACCCCAAATCCTATGTGTTTAAGTCTGAGGTTGAGGTGTACTTGATCTTGTCTGGCTCTCACTAAAATGTCAATTTAAAATAATGGCTACTGGAATCTGCAGTTCATTATAACCACAGCTTGAATAGTGATATGAAACAGAAGGATCAAAAAAAGTTTCATGTTAAAGGGGCTCTATTTGACATTTAGAGTGACTCTATAGCTGTGATTACATGGCTATAGGACATATATGGATATATCTTCAATGCCATTCAAGTCATTCTGTTTAGAGTTTCCAATTTAACTGTTTACATAAATACTAAATACAGCGATCCAATGTGTGTTTACATGCCTTGAAGCATTAAATCAATATACATTTTTTGACATGCTGACACTGGTTCTGCCCGCAGTGAACTGTCTAATCTGCCCAAAATATCTAATGATTTTCTGGTTGGGCTGTGACTCTGATTAATAGTAGAATATTAGGGTCCATGTAAATGCACCTTATGATTCAGAGTCTGATTCTGTCTGCACGTGGCACTCAGTGTGGAGGTGGCTGAGCCAGTGGCAAGTAGCAAACGGCAACAATGCTGACAGAGCTAACGGTGTTAACTGGGCAGGGAGGAGGGCACATTACATGCACTTGCGGCGGGACTGTCTACCATAACAAAGAACAGAGAAGCTCTGATTACAACGTCACTCTATGCTCAGGATGCCATTACTCCACTATATCTTTAGATAGCAAATAGATGTTTGCTGCCACATGAATGCTCTGAACGTCATATATTGAAACTTTAAGATTACAATTACTGTAGTTAGCAGCTAATTTAGTTCTGTCAGTCACATTATGCATGATCATCTTGTTGTACAAACAGACCTACAGGAGAACTGTTAGTTGTATATTGAATCATAGACTGCTTTATTAAATCCTCGAACATCATTTACTGGAAAAACATCATTAAGAAGTAAGTGGCTTTAGTGAATTGCCTAGTTAGACTTCTAGTTAGTTAAAGAGATATCGACAAAAACTGCATTCTTGACTTTTGAATTTCACAATTTTGGACTTAATTATTTTATGATTTGAAAGTTTAATTATGCCTTTTGGAACATAAGTGAATTTTGACTTAGCAGTTTCCCAGAAATCACAGTTTTCTCTCAAAAATAAAACATATTCTCATTAACCATCTCCATAACCATTTTAGGAAAGGCTCGAGTTTGGGTCGCATTTTGATCCAACTTAACATAGAAGACTTGAATGTAGAAATTCCCAAAGTTCATATTTGATTCTCCACACTATAACCACCTTCAGATTAGTAATTTTATACAAAGCTGAAGCTTAGTCATTGAACACATTTTATTTCTCACAGATAAAGAGATGTGTGGTGAGTCCAAGTACCTCTGGTTTAATACAGAAAAAGAAACAATAACAAAGACACTTAAAGTAGGTCAAGTCCAAGTAGCAGTTTGTCACTTTGGGCATTTTGCCACCATTATTGTTTTATCAAGGTTTAACATTGAGCCTCAAAATCACTTAACTGCTTTTAAATCACTACATGTACAAAACATCTGAGCAGAAAACACCTTTCCTCTTCCATTGTCCAACCACATAATCAGCGCCCACTGAGTATCCTCTGAATGTGTTTGTTCCCTTTGTCACAAACAGGCAATCCAGCCCAGCCCACATCCCTCCACTACATGAGTCCCTACCAGCTGAACGCCTACGCAATGGCCTTGAAGGCAGTAGGAGAGATCATCCAGGATTACGACAGCGATAAGATGTTTCCTGCACTGGGCTTCGGAGCCAAGCTGCCACCTGACGGACGGGTCTCCCACGAGTTTGCCTTGGTACGAACAAGAGGGGTTGGGACCAGGATGGAAGGTGGGAGGGAGTAAAACTTGGAGATGTTCACTGTGTTGGGTTTTTCTACCAGTTCATCTACCAACAAGAGCCTAAATTGACCTCCTGTTAGTTACTATGAACTGCTGTTAGTTAAAGTGTATGCCTGTGTATGCTGTGTATCTGAAATTAATCCGTCAAAACAATGATGGTTCTTTATCCTCTCTTTAATGTAGAACGGGAACCCTCAGAACCCATACTGTGCTGGTATTGAGGGTGTGATGGAGGCCTACTACCAGAGTCTGAAGTCAGTGCAGCTCTACGGACCCACGAACTTCTCCCCTGTCGTCAACCACGTGGCCAGGTAACACACACACACACACACACACACACACACACACACACGCTGTTTTACACCTGTATATCTACTATCACTGCTTATATAATGAACTTCATTTGAGTATGTGTGAAGCAACACATTTCACTTTTCACTTTGAGTACATTTCACTTTGTAACTGACTCAGCATGTGTTCTCAGGTTTTCTGTTATAGACTCCCCAAGTAGCGAATAAATTAAAAAGACAAGCACTAAGATACACACACAGAGGAAAGTACGTGACAGCTGATTTCATGTTTGTTTGTGCCCCTGCATAGACGACAACATTATTAATGCTGCAGGAAAGCCACACGAACATGTGATCTAGACAGAATTCGAAAATAAATAAATCAGGAAGTATTCATGCAAGTGTGTAATTAAAAGGATGAACTCAAGTGAAGCCTCTCATCAGGTTGCTTCACATATTTAGTAGATAATTTTCTGAAACCTTAATTGCGTCGTTACACGAGGAGGCACTATGGAGGGAAATGGTGAAATAAGTGGTAATACAGAGGCAGCAGTTTCTTCTTATTCTTCTTCTTATTCCTGTAATGTCACCTGAAATACCCTTTACTTCGTTTTCCAAACCCATGTGTTCCTTCCTTCAAACCCCCTAATTGAACTTTCCTCTTTGCTTTTGTCCTATTCTCTCTAACATATTTTTTAATGCACCAACAAATCACTAATTTCTTTTACTACATCAAAATCTTGATATTCTCTCTTTTTTAATAAACAGTTTTTGGAAATGTGTTTACTGGGTTTTCCTTAATGCTAGGTCTGTCTCGCATTTTTACCATAGGTAGAACTCGTTAATGTAGGCGGGGTTTTTAATGTATGGTGAAAGCTGCATTACAAGAAGGAGACAAGCTTTGTTTAAGAAAAGGCTGCAGACAGCAAGGAAAAATACTGCGAAAAAAAATACAAGAGAGTTTGTAAAATTCTGCGGTGCTTCTTCAGACTGCAGTGTTTCTAGCTTCACCTTTTAGTATCAGATCACTGTGTCAGGTGCCTCAACAGAGAGGTGATGAAAAAACAGGACAGAACAGAGCGGTTCAGTTGGTGCCATCCTCAGCGTTTGACAGAGGAAATCCAAAAACAGCCGATTTAATGTGTAACTGAACTGAAGCGGGCTGCTTGGTGGGAACAAGGCTTTCTAGCTCCGTGCAAGAAAGAACATGACAGAACATAAAGCAATGTTTTAATCCATATCCCAAATGAGAGATAGATGTGTTGATTTTAATGTAAATTAAAACACATTTAATATAAACCCCTCGTTTATCAGCCAGGCTGCGTCTCATTAACTTTTGCCACAAGATTTCACTTGAAAGATTTGTCCTAGTTTGATAGATACCAGACTAATCAGCAACACATTTCACAAACTCATCCTCATTAAAACTTTTAAAACTAGTTGTAGATATATGTTGCATCTTTGTTTGTCAACTTAAAGCCTGCCAAAACTAAGAGCAAGGACATGCTGTTCTTTAATCTGTAACAGATCAGATGCTACATCCAACCTCCTCTCCTCTGTTTGTCACAGAGGTGTGGACTCGAGTCACGTAACTTGACGTGGACATTAATCTTTTGGCTTGAAGATACTTTATACCTTCCTCCCAAAGATTGTAAAGTTATTTAAAACATGTGCCACAAATAGAACTGCCTGAAGACGGACGCTCCAAATCACAAACAATGGCTGATCATCATAGACGATATTCAGGTGATGGAGAATCTTACATACACAATGCAAATGAATGAAGGACAAATTGAAAAAGGCTTGGAAACATGGTTAAACTATAAAACAAAAAGGCAACGATACAGATAATAACACTGTCTAGGATTATTACATCCTAGAAGAAAAACAAAGTGGTTTAGTAGTTTGTTTAGGAAGTCAGACCTGACCAGCTTTTACCTTTACTTGATACATGCTACTGGAGTTTTAGTTTAAATATTCATGGATTGAGGACTCTAAAGAGGAAATACAGATGGCGTGGCTAAACAAAAAATCAAATCACAAATCAATTCATTTCCTGTTATTTGCTGTATCAGCTGGCATTAACCCTATTCATTTCCATCGAGTTGACACTTAATTCCCCAGATCCACTTTGTTTGAACCAATCTGACAGCATCCGGTCAAGCTGCAGGAGAGAACCATGAAGAACTTGCGTTACATTACTGAGTGCCAGTTGGAAAACAATGATGCCAAAGACAATTTTGTTAACTTACAAAAGCTATGCAGTCTTTAACATAAAACGGAATAGCTGTTTGCAAAATGTGCAGGTCGAAAATTGCAGGAAGAGACATCCAACATGAAAATTTAATATATTACTCTGTTGTTAAAATGGCATTACATTTGGTGACACATGCACTATGATTTGTTTTGTAGCAAAGACTTGAGACTTGAGCGTGACTCACAAAACAATGACTCTGTCCCACCTCTGGTTTGTCGACCATCCTCATATTTCATATCTGTCTTCACTCTCACATGCTGCTGAGTAACTATTCACCTCACTTCTCTTCCCTGCTCTTCCTCTCTCTAACACACCTGAGGTGTTGCCCTGTGTATCTGCAATGGTGTGATCACCTTCAGTGTGTGACACTTAACCATCAGTTATCTCCAGCGGGGAGGAGGCAGACACAGATCTAACCTCCCGGTGCAGAAAGGTGATGCGTAGCGGAAGCTGAGGCGACTGAAACAATCTCAGTGTGTAAACATCAGAAATAGTTGGTTCAGGACTCACACAGGAGTGAAAGGTCTCGCTCAACACCACAGCAGAAATTGAAAGCTGTGAGGATCTATAGAATTGACTTAAAGAGAGATGTACATAGAGAGGTACTTGACAGAATAGATCCTCCAGAGTGGGAGGTAAGTGGTATTTACTCAATGAGAAGTCATTTTCAGAGGATGTGTAATGTCTCGTTCCCACTCAGCTGTTTGCCTGTACTCTATTTAATTTGAGAACCGTCTGAGTACTGTAATTAAAACCACACAGAATGATACTTAATATGCTCAAGTAATGAGTCATTGTGGGAAACAAAAGACAAGAGGATGGTAGCACAGAAATCATTACAAAAAATGGTTTTTTGTGTGTTGTTGTGTGTAGGTATGCAGCTTCAGTGAAGGACGGCTCTCAGTACTTTGTGCTCCTCATCATCACAGATGGCGTCATCTCAGACATGGCTCAGACCAAGGAGTCTATTGTCAATGTAAGTGCATCTGCTGAACACCTGACTCTTCACGAACACACCCAAAACAAAACAGGTCACCAAAAAGAGAATTCAGTTGAAAGGGTTCACACCCAACCTCTTTCATACTGTCTTTTCGAGGCAAGAATTTCACACTGTTATTCTACCTCACTGTTGTGTATAAAAGGTACAATTGCGGAATGGGGGGGACAGAGTTTTCTCACCTTCAAGCCGACATCGGAGGTAGTAACAGCGCTAAAACGATGGCTGTGTAGAAGGGACAGCCAGCAGGATGGGATCATGTGCAGCAAGTTTTGACGACGGTGTGACCCACAGCGGGAGATTTTAAAAAGTAGCTGATAGCAGTTAGCAGCTAACTCAAAAAAGAAGACCAGCGAAAAGTCCACAAAATGGGAAAACAGTGAGGTCCAAGTGCTCCTTACCCTCTGAGCAGAGAACGAGATCAGCTACCATATACAGGGGTGCAAAGTTATCACCTTGCAGCCACAATCACCATTTTGAATACAAAACATGTCAGTTACAATATTTGTGTAGATAAAAGATGGTGGTGGGGTTTGCGAGGACAGATTCATGGTGAGTTATATGAGGTCGGTTTCTGTCTGCCTGCATGCCTTAAGGTAAGAATCTCTTACAGTAGTGTTATGATAACCTGACTTTGCTTATATGACAGGTTGTCAAGCTTGTGACTGTTAATTAGCCTCATTCGGCTGAGTTGTTTTGCTTTAGCCAACACTAGCCTGGGTTTCCCTCTGAACTGATGACCCCCTCACACTACTTTTATAGCAGCAAGATTACCTTAATGTTAGGGTGTATTTTTTCCTATATTCTCATGCTGAATTCAACTGGAAATCCACATTTTAAAGCTAATATTTAAAAACATTTCATACCCCTGGACCTTCCTAGAGGGTTCATGTCTTGTCACCTTTTTAACCCCTGATGAGTTTGCACCTCTGATAGAAAAGGGACAGGAAATGATTGTTACATGTCACATCCATCATGCCTCCTTTGCTTCCACGATGCTGACATGCTGTCTGAAACATGATGCCACCATTGTTTGGTTCCTTGTAAAAATGCAAAGGTAGCATAAAGAAGGGACTTAATAGCAGCCCGATCTCTGTGGTAAAAGGGCCTATAAAATTGTTTAATAGTAGTAATGATGATAACTAGACTTGCAAGCAAACACCCAGTGCAATTGGAAACTGCGGCCTTGCTGACCTGGAGCGATCAGGAAGTCCACTGCATTGCTGAATAAGGTTTAAACAGGTGGTTTGACATGAGTTTGTCCACATGTTTAGCCAGGCTCAGTGCACACTGCCAGGATCTGAACTGTTGCGTCTATGTCTGCACCAAAACTTTTATCAGTAAATCATCTTGCAGCTTGTGCAGGAGTGATAAAGTGTTTTTCATCTTGAGTACCCATTCTAAAAGCATAAAAGGCAAAAGTACAATGAATGAACAATTCAGTCCCTTAGAAAAAAAAACTTAATTTATGGGACAGATTTTTATAGAAGAAGATGCAGTATAATGGGCCTCACAAAAGATGGGAAGTAACACAAAAAGACAGATGCAAACATTCGGAAACAACAAAACAAAGCTGACAAATGAATGAAGAGAGAAATGCTGCCATTAAGACAGCTGCTGAAAACCCTTTGTATGTAAATTGTGTCTTAATGGACTGTGGCTGCTTCTTTGTGTTTAGGTAACCGTTACATTTTCTATATGAGTTGGATGTTAGGGAAGGTGTTAGTTATTTATTTATCCATTTTTATGTCATTCTGTGTGTCTGATGTAAAAAGGTAAATCACCTAAAGAGAGTATTCATCAAAATAGACATTTCACCAAGAAGATATTTCATCATGGAAAGCATTTGGAGTTAATGCCATAATTATGCATAATTAAGTGGGTAGTATTTCATAAAGTTGCTTAAAGTCTGGGTAAAGCAAAAATAAATATGTGTAACGACTTTGTCACACAACAGACAATGTGTCATTAAGCACCCAGCCAAATTTGAATAATGAAATAAGTCACTAAATATATAAAATTACATTTCAAAATCATGAAAAAAGGCAGTATTCTCTGCTCTTAGATGCTGGGGGCATGTCAACTGAATGTGTTGAAGCCGTGCCTATTCACTTTTGGAGCGCAGCGGTGGGCATCGCATATCATGTGACAAGGAACAGCCAATCACAGCCGACAGTGCAGGGCTACTCGGAGCTTTCATCTGTTAATATTCTTGGCCTAATACACACTTACAAAACATCTCCTGGAAGAAGATCAGCTCTGGACTCAGGATTCCTGGCAAGTAGGCTATGATATGGTGCTGGTTATGGTCGCTTAGCAACCTGCCTCCTCGCCCTTGAAAAGTTGGCACAGAGTAGGCACAAGAGTGGTGCCCTGCGCCCAATGTAGCATTTTCCAGGCAGTTAAAGATGCGGTTTACAGCCCGTTATTGGACTTGTACGCTAGTTCTTCTGTGGCGTAGGGATGGGGCATATGCTAAGGATTAGTCCATTATGTCGTCAAGAAGGCTTTTAGCCCCGCCCCACAAAATCCTGGACACAGAAATGGTGAAATACAGGTCTAACGCCACATTTCAGTACCATATAGTTCCCAGTCCTTTCAAAACAAGTGTTTTCTAACATGCATAATGTGTTTAGATGTAAATCTCAGATTTTATTTTACCCCGACTTTAAAGGTCCAGTGTGTAAAATTTAGTGACCTCTAGTGGTGAGCTCGCAGAGGTGAAACTTCACCAGTTCGCCAAGCGTTTAGGAGAACTATGGTGGTCAAAGCAAACATATGAATGGTCCTTTCTAGAGCCAGTGTTTGGTTTGTCTGTTCTGGGCTACTGTAAAAAAAAAAAAAAAACATGGTGATTCTTATTTTCAGGTGATTATACACTAAAGGAAACATCCAGTAGTCATGAATATTGAATACCATTTCTGCCAATACATCCCCCAAAATTCTGCACTCTGGACCTTTAAATATAAAGCCATGAAAAATGTATGCAAATGACTAAGACTGTCATGGTGAGAACTTCTTAAGTCTGGGCAAAAATGTGTCTCATAAATCCTTGTTATCATCACTTGTTTTGCTCCTGGGAGCAAAAATCTGTCTTTGAATGAAAGCTGGAAAGCAGCTGTGCCAGTTATTCCTAATTAGGCTGTTAGGCAGCTCACTGTCAGCTTATAGACGTATTAACTATGGAATTACGACACGGAGAAAAGGCACATATTGTTGGCCTTACTAAAAGATAATGTAAATGATGCGTGTATCATAGCGTATACATAAACACCAGGGGCCGTGCAGATGTTTGGTATTGACACATATTTTTACTCGTCTCCGCATTTCCATCCTTCCTTGCAGTGTCAACAGAAATGTGATGTGACTGGGGAGCCGTAACTACTGTAAATTTTTTTTTTTTTTTTTTTTTTTTTTTTTTTTTTTTTAAATGTTTGCTGTGCCGCCCTGACTCCTGACAGCCTGTTATTCACCCTCCATCTGTCCTCTCCATCACTGTCAAGTCACAGCATGCTCCAGAGGGAAGCCAGAGTGCCATGCAGAATGCGAACAAAGTGAACAGTGAACAGCAGCTGTATTTTTCTGTGTATGAAGGCAGTGATCCATCTCAGGTCTTTGAAGGCAGAGAAGGAGAGGTTGAGAGCGAAATGTTAAGGAGAAAAGGAGGCTGATAGAGGAGAAGGGGGTGGCAGGGTGGAAGAAGGTGGCAGAGATGAGGGGACGGGGAAAGAAACAGAGTGCAGTTCAGTGGAGACATGAAGAAGACCTTTACTGAGGGGAGAGAAAAATAAACGAGATGTTTTGATAAGATCATCTATTGCTCTGCTGCCTGAGGTCCACCCATCCGTCAGATTGGCTGAACAGACACACACACACACACACACACACACACTGCCGTCCCTCTCTTTCAAATACCACATAACACATGTCATTTGTAAGCCGTCAGCAAGCTCAGGCCTTGTTGTTGACTCTCTCATCTCTAAGATTATTCACTGTGATGCCTCGACCCACGCAGCGCTGCAGGAGGTGCTGTAGAAAACACACACATTTACACATACTGTATACATGTTGGCAAGACATGAGCACGATCTGTGAACGCTTTATTTAAAGCTGATGAAAACAAAGGCTGTATCATCTTTATCCCATTAACGACTCACATGGGCAACATCAGAAGAATGTTTATACATTTTTTGATATGTATTAGATATTCACTGTTTCTCTCCTCTCCTGCAGGCTGCCTGTCTGCCAATGTCCATCATCATCGTGGGGGTGGGGCCTGCAGAATTTGATGGTAAGCCAACAAGAACTTGTTAATAATATTTACATATAAGAAACATCTTTTTCCATTCAAAGTTGCCCTTTTAGAATTTGACGACAGTGAGAAATAATGTGTGTATTTTATTTGTTTTCTGCTCAGCCATGGTTGAGTTGGATGGCGATGAAGTCAGAATCTCATCCAGAGGAAGATACGCTGAGAGGGACATTGTTCAGGTACACACTCCTTTCTTTCTCCTGGCTGCAGCGGCCACGGGTTCGCTTCCAGTCTGCAGCCCGTTGCTGCGTGTCATTCCCTCTCTCGCTCCTTCTTTCACACTTCAAAAAAGAAAGAAAAACAAAGCCAAAGCAAGAAAGTAGAAAATGGCTGAAGGTCAAAGGACACAGGCCTTCAGTAGAGGCTATAGCAACTTTTATTCAGCCAGTGCTAACCCCAGCTTTCTGTTGCTGCCATTACACAGATTCCAGCCTGCTGTGACCCCCTGAACTTTTCATGAGTTTTACTTTTTCCACAGCAGCTGTTTTTGAGTTGGTAGTAAAAAACTGTTTTATCATCACACTCAAGATGCGGGAGCGAGTGAAAGCAAACTTTCTTTTGCTGTTTAGACCCAGCACTGGACCACAAGGTGTGTGGTTTCCACAGGAACGCTGCAGGTTTAATCTAAAATAGTCACTAGTGTCACTTTCATTGTGCTTGGCTCTGCTGCTCCATCTGCATGCAGAGTACCCTCTGCCACCAAAGAGGAAGAGAAATGCAGCTCCAAAAAAATCTTAATAGGGCGGCAAGTGCGTCAGAATAAACACATGTGTAGGAAACCATGCATATAGCCCCAACCCTGTCTCTTATCATGTTTCATTTTCATTGCCACATAGTCCCAGATAAAATGGCAATTAAATCAGCAGTAGTGGACAAACAATTAGCCTGGAGCTTTTGAGGCCCCTGGAGTTCTGGAGCCTTAGGGTAGTATCAAAACGTATTCAGTGGATGTTGTAAAATGTTAGACAGACCACCCCCGAAATTACAGCTTTGCAGAAAGATATGTGTGCAGGCCTTGTCACTGTTTTAAAGCTGAGTGACTAAAAGAACCTGAGACCTTTTAAAGCTGTTCAACTCCATCCATGCAGACAGACAACTGGTCACCTCCACCCCACAGCGCAGCTGAGCGCAGATGACAAGATGGACACAGAAATACACCACACACACACACACACAGATAATGGCATGATCCTCAGTATCTGCTGGGAGTGTTTGTCTCTTTCTCATTGAAGTGGATGAACAGAGACTCTGAGCTCGAACTCCGGCACACAGGGCAGCGTGGGGTCTGCAGTTAGTCAGAATGGACTTTTTAACTAAGCTGCTACAGCTTCGCCATTTTACATTTTTTTGTTGGCACGTAGAGTTTGGAATATGAAGTGGACACCTTCTAATTAGAAAACAGCCAAAGAGAGAATAAAACAATGGCATTTAAAAGTTTGCTGGAATCAGCTGCTTAAACTCTGAACTATGGTTTATAGTTTGTAGTCCTTCCTTCAGCCTGTCAGTCATCAGTATTTATCCCTTTGTTGATGTTTTTTATTTGTATCCTTGTTTGTTTTGCTGTAAGGGATCGGCTTACGATGACAAGTATCACTTTTCACATTCATTTTGTGGCAGCAAAGCAACGGGAAGAAATGCAAACATCAGTTTGTTTGTTGTGACACAGAGGAGACACATTTTTCTCCTCCATGACCTTTCTACTGCCGCTGGCATATCTTTCTCCCTCACACCCTCCCTCAGCCCACGTAGGCGAGGGAGGCATGCTCGTTAGTTGGCTTTTTAACAAGCTGAAGTACACACACACTCACACCGATACGCTGCCACTTTTTGCAGAAAAGACCTGGAGATGGTGTAAAACTAAGTTTCAGTACTGGAATTGTGCAGCAGCTCTGCCTAAAGGCTCTCATTATCAGCAAGCTAATAACCCCGAGTGACATGGTGAGGGTCATATTTCACAGCGTCAGTTTCCAGCACAAATTGGCCTCTCATATGATCTTGTGATTGCAGGTGACATCAGCTCATTAAGTAAATGAAAGTCTCATATCTTTGCCCGTTTAGTTCAGCAGTATCATCCACGCACCAGCAAATAACCTGTGACTTGTGACCCGTGACTGAAATGTGCCAGCATTTATTTCACCCCAGCAGGTGGATTAGCATGGCGAAGGAGGCAGCAGACTGAAATGTAAATGATGAGTCACAGCAGGGAGGCCTGATGATTATAGAAGTCATCATGAGTCCACGAGTGCCTGAGCAAAAACAGTGAGAAACTTGTTATAAGTTAGTCTGGATACAAATGTCACTACAGCATCTGTTTGGAGGTGGAGGTGAAGTGGCTGCATGTGTAGTAGCTCATTATTTGATGAAGCTCTGCTGACCTCCAGGAGACTTTAGTGCATTCAACCAGGTTGTCAACCAAACCAGGATATATTACTGTAAATAAACATACAACATTTCCTCATTTCTATTGCTTATGATAATATTGCACACAGTTGCTGAGATCTGTAAAAAAAAAAAAATATATATAAACTAGAAGAGCACTTGGAGGGTGCAGACCTCCACCAAGGCCAAAGCGTTATCACAAAATTAAGCTTGCTGCAGTAGTCTGTTAGCTATTTGTTTTTTGTTTGTTTATTTGTTTGTTTTTTTTTATCAATACTTTGTCAGATAACGGAGGTTACAATTATAAACTGAGCAGCAGCAGAGTCACAGCAGGAGTAGCTGGACTCAGACTTCACCTACAGGGAGAGTTGACAGACAAGACAACAGCAGTATTTGGTGTCAAAGCGAAAAGCAAAAGTGCCTCTTCAGCAATATTTCGCATTTAAATCTTGAGCTAATAGGGAACCTGATAATGATGATGAGGTAAAAGGAGTTGGTTTCATCCAAGTGGAAACCTCTGGGGCTGAAAAATGAAGCCAACGTGGAAGTGCCAAAAACTGCAGTTCTTTGAATGGCCACTTGAGGCTTGCTCAAAAAGCGAGTCAATCCCCATAGACCCCTGTGTTAAGCAGGAATAAACATGTTTGCAGCCTGGAACAAAAAACAGTTTTGGTCTCTGTAGCATATTTCCCCCTTGGTGAGAACTGTACAAGGGGTGAATTATTTTATAACTAACCTGTTCATTTTAGTAAGGCTCAAAGTTATGCATAATTAAGGGCAGGCCGCTTTGAGTGACTGTCTGCTGATATTGTCCTTGGCTTCTCGGTCAGGTCCACCCCTTGCTCCTTCACCAGCTAGCCTCTCTCCCAAATATAGTCACTCCTGGCTCCAGAAAACCAAGATGGTGACGGCCGAAGTGCCAAAGTTGAGGCTTTAAAATCAGAGTCCACAAACCAATGGGAGACGTCACGGTAGCTACGTCCATTATGTTAAGAAGTTGGTGGTGTGTGCAGCCTGTCCCCTGCAGCTCCTTATCTAACAGCTTCTTGTTGTATATTAAAAATATACCTTTATGGATGTACGTAGTGGATCATTCTTTTGTCAAGGTCAAAAGCAAAAGAAATCAGTTACAATTATTAAGTCACGTCGGGCTGCAGACACCAGTCCTTGACCTCATGTTACCTTACATAAAAATGATCCCAGTGAGTTCCACACAGTGTGGTGTACAGATTTTAAATTTGAGAATAAGACAACACTGGCATTGGAGCTGGAGTCAGGGGAGAAAAACTCAGACAGGTGCATCCAAAGTTATTATCCTTCTTTGTACTGTATGTGTAAAACTAAGGCAGAAGGCCACTAATATCAGTTTCACAACCTGCTATTGTGAAAACTAGCAGTGCTGATCCCCTTATTTGAACCTGCACATTTTCTGCCTAATATTTAATCCCAGACATTTGCTAGAGCTAACGAGATCTTGGTATGTAGCTACTGGCTCTGTGCCCGTCTCCTCTCTGCATTTTAAAGCATGAAGTGGTTCAATTTCACATACCAGCGGCCCTAAACGGTGTCAGGAAGCTTTAATACCTAATATTCTCAGTAAAAACATGACATCACTAATTTGCACATTCTCTGTATCCACATTTGCTGCTCTTCAAATCAGGGATTTCTCTCCAAGTGCTGGAAAGTTTTGCCTGTTCACCAGACAGCCAGACACCAGAGTTTCATTTCTGAAAATAGGGCCAATCTGCAGTGTCTTAATTAGGAGAGACTCTCTTCTCTGTAGCAATAATCTCACAGGCCATGAGACTGCTTCTTCTTAAAACAGTGAACAAAGCAACTTGAAACAAAGGGCATAAATTGTGTTGTATAATTTCAGGGGTTTTTTGTCTTCTTTTTTCATCATTCTGCCGTCGTTTTTGCTCCCATACTCTTAATCTTCTTTTTAATCTCTGTGCTTTGGTCTTCTTCAATCTCCATCTCTGTGACTGCCCTCATTTTCCATCTCTATTAACCAGCTATCTCTCCTCTTATCATCTCCCCTCGATATTTGCACCTCTCCTCCTCCTCTCAGCTGACCATTCACTAAGCCACGCCCCCCTTAGTTACTGCTGTTATGCCAGTAGAGCTTTCCACTTTTGCACAATGAATATGTGCCAGCTTGGTGACTTTTCAGACCCTGGTGACAAATTTACTGACTTACTCAGACCATCAGAAAAAAATAGAGAAATAGATTGAAATATATTGTCTTGTAATTCATTCTAATGCATGCTGCTCAGAGTAATCACAGTCACGACTCAACTGAATATCTTTGCTGTTTTGGACAAAACAAAACATTTGAAGATGTCATCATGGGCTTAGGGAAACACTGATCAAAATATTTACACTATTTTCCATCATTTTATAGACCAAACAACTAATAGATTAATCGAGAAAATAATCAGCATATTAATAAACAATGAAAATAATCAGAAGTTGCAGCCCTAGTTAATATTTGTGGGGCAGGCAGAGGGAGAGGAGATGCCACTTGCTGCACTTTGGGAGTAGAGTTGTAGTAAGTTTCTATGGTTACACTGACGCTCTCACTCTCTGGATTGGAAGTGCAAGAAAGCTCCCATTGCATTCAAATGTATTGTCGATCTATTGAATGTTATCTAAAGCAAAGTTGTGGCAGTGGCAGGTTTACCACTGGAAATAAGCAATTTGTGTCCTTGATTTCAGACAAAGGAAGACAAAAACAAGCTTCTCACATCGAACCTTTAAGATAATGTTTACTCCATGAGTCGGTTAACAACACTGCTGTCTCCATCTGACTCATTTTAAAACAAAAACCCTGTAAAAGGGATGACTACATACATAGATTTGTGCTAAAAGTTTGGCAGCGGTTACTCAAGTATAAACTTCACCTTGTCACTAACTTTCTTCTCTCTCTCTCATCCCTCTCAGTTTGTCCCATTCAGAGACTACATCGACCGGACGGGGAACCACATTCTGAGCATGGCCCGACTCGCCAAAGACGTCTTGGCCGAGATCCCCGACCAGTTCTTGTCCTACATGAGGACCCGCGGGATCAAGCCGTCGCCAACGCCGCCTCCCTACACGCCGCCAGCGCAACCCATCCAAACCCAGATATGAGAAGCCGGGGGGAGACAGGTTTCGGAGACAGGGGTCAGCTGAACTTTACGAGCGAAATACTTCCATTTCCCTAAAGGCTGCTCTCCATGCCTTGTCGTCGTGGATCACGTGTTCAGGAGGCTGCATGTCGGGCCGGGAGAGTGTCGAGGAAAAGCCAATGAGAGTCTGTTTACTTCCACTGTCAAGCATTCCTGTGACTGTCTGGATTTTTTGGGGGGGCTGGGGTAACGAGGAGAGGCAGAGAGTCTGAATTTAATCTGGGAGGAAAAGAAGGAATGAAGGAGGAAATGAAGGACAGCTTTCGAAACAAAGAGAATGTCCCCAGACAAAACAAAGGAATCACTTGATGAACTCTTTCTGTAAATAACTGGACATATGTCACTTCTTCTTTCTCTGTCTCTTTCTCTCTATCTCTCTACAACTCACTCATTGTTTACAGTAAACGCTGACAAGGATTTTTACTGTTGATACTTTTATATACACACAGTTTCAATATGAAGCTTGTAATATTCTCTCTCCTTCTCTCTCTCTCTCTCTCTCTCTCTCTCTCTCTCTGTCTCTCTGTCTCTCTTTCTCTCTCCTGGCATGTGTGTCAGGTAGCAGCAGTGCAGGTCCTGGTAGCCCCTCTGTACCGTACCGTACCGTGCTGTACCGTACCGTACTGTATTCTGGTGTTTGTAATAACCTTTTGCATGAGTGTAGCCTCAGTCAAGTGCATGCATATAGTGGCCCTGCACTACCTCTTCTATCCATCTACTCATCCGTCTGTCTGTCTGTGGGGGGTGAGTGTCTGTCTGCCTGTATCCATTTGTCACTTCACCCTCTCTGTCTGTCTGTCTGTCTGTCTGCACTGCTCTCAGGCCTGAGAAGTCTGTCTGTCTGTCTGTTGTACCTTTTCTTCTCATCTGTATCTCTCATGTTCTTTCCTTTCTTTTATGCCTCTGTCACTTTAACCAGCTGTGTTTCCATCCAACTTTTTTTTTTTCTTTTTGCGAGTTATAATAGACGAGCTGAAAAGAAAATGCATCATTTTTATGCTCATCACAGGACAGACAGATTTTATTGCCGGATGTAGAATAGCAAAGGATTGTCCTTGGTTCACCAGACATAATCGGCTTGATAAATGGTGCAGATTCCAAAATGAATTTTAAAATGTAAAAATGTTCCACGCTTCTTCCCAGAGATGTTTTATCGTGTATAAGGGGTCCAACATCTTCAGAAAGCCAGGATATGTACATTACTGGTATTTTTTAATTGTGCTTGCAGCGTGGCTCTAGGGATGAAAGTGTCAGTCAGTCCACCACTTTGGTCCACACTGAAAAACCTCAATAAATGTTGGATAGATTGCCATAAAATTAAGCATAAATATTCATATGATTTTTCATCTAGCACCATTATCAGGTCAGAATTTAAATTTCCACAGTACTTTGTTCTTTGATAAAATACGTGAAAACCTAAAAAAAAACCCTGACATTCCCGTCCTCAGATATACTCAGTGTTTAGCATGCTAACAGACCTAGATGAACATGGTAAACATTGTATCTGTTAACATGTTATTGTGTTTGCATGCTGACTTTAGACACAGTGATGCTTTAAGGTCAATTTTACCAACCTTAAAGAGCCACTAGCATGGCTGTAGACTCTTAAGGCTGACTTATAGTTGTATGCAGACTCTACACAGAGAATTTATCATCGTCTACACAAGTGGTCTACACCGTTGCGAGCATTTGTACTTGTACAGTGGTATGTCTGTGTTGCTTTGCAATTACATTCCAAAATATTAGTTCACAGTGGCGTTTCTGGAACACTGCGTTGAGTGTCTGTGAAGTGCCGTAAAGTTTGATTGATTCAACTAACGGACCTAAAACACACATAACACATGACTCAATAGCAACAACATTTAACAAAAGTACGAAATTCGGCTCTATTTTAATTCACAAGGTTCACAAACCAAACACTTGTCTTTTCCAAGACGTGTTTCCCACATAAATACAACATGCTAACGATATTAGCATAAGCCTATGACATTTTACATTGCATGAATTAGCCAAGCAGCTAGCGGACTTTTCCTTTACTCATATTAAGCAGAGGACAACAGCAACATTTAACAAAGGTAACATTACAAAATTAGGCTCCTTTATAACTCACAAGTTTCAACGACAAAATAATAGTCTTATTCTAGACATGTTTTTCCCACATATGAACGTGCTAACATTATTAGCATAAGCCAATGAGATTGTATTGTAGAAATTAGCCTAGTGACTAGCAGAATTTTCCTCTACTCATATGAAGTCAGGATGAATCACACGCAACAAGAAACAAGTTGTTTCTTATCTCTAAAATACATTTAAATAAAGCTTCGCTCCCACTAATGGAGATTGTTTTTCAGTTTACATAAATAAACAAAGGGTCTGCGCCGCTGCAGCCTGTAGATTCAACTCAGGAGTTTAAACCTGGCTCTAGTCTTGTGCTTTGTGTCAAAGAAACCATGCAGTATGGCCAACGTTAGCAAACATTTAACAACAAATGTTTTACTTTTTTACCTTTCTAATTTGTTTGCTTTAGCCACGATGATGAAGATTCAAATGGTGCAGTTTCTGTCTCCAGCATTTCATATTTTTGCGTTGCTTTCTTTTTTACATCTGAGTGGAAGCTTGGCTACTCTGTCTCTCTCTCTCTCTCTCTCTCTCTGTCTCTGTTCTCCTCCAAACTGCCTTGGCAATATGATGCCCACGTGCCCAGGGGTTCCGTCTCATTGTGTTGTCCAACACCACATCCCCGCCTCATGTTTAAAACGACAGCAGCTGCTCTCAAACTAAATACTGTTTGAGCATAAAGAGCCCAGTGGTCAAAAATGCAGAGAAAAAACACACTTTCCCTTTGTTGGCTTTTTGTTCCATTTGATTTTTTTTATTTTATTTTGGTGTGTACTTTTTATTGCACCTTTAGCTTTGATACAGCTTTTTATATGTTTGTTTTTATGATGTGTATTTTTATGTGCCAATCATGTGTAAAAGGATGATTTGTGTGAATCCTGTCAGTCACTGAGGATGTCCGACAAGTTTCCAATTTAACATAGTTTCTAAATGAAGAATGAGTTCTGTTTGAATGTGAAAGGATTGTTCAATGTTGTTATGAACAAGTGTTTCAATGATAAGTTAACATGTTTTAATGTGAATGAGATTTGTCTTTTAAAACAACATTCTATGAAATGTTTGAAAAGTCTTACAAAAAGTGGGAATGCAGGAACATTTTAACATTTATTGGACTGTGAGTGAAGTATGTCGCAGCACCAACAATGTGAAAGGATATTTAAGCGTTGCCGTGATGTTAAAGCTTAGTAATTTTGTTGTATGAACACCCTGAAGTAGTCTTAAAATTATGGCACAGACATTATCATTATCATGATTTTGTATGAAGTAATGTAAAGCTCATGACCACCACATCATCCGCTAACTCACTCTGATGTCTTACAAAATGAAGACTTTTCAATGAAAATATTATGTATTATCAATAATTGTATCAAAACAAATATGTCTTTGCTATAAGATATAAGTGCTGAGTTTCTGCTATTGGCTGCACAAAGGTCTTAACAAACTACGAAACTTTGGTTGTTTTCACAACACATTCTCATGCCCAACTCGTCAAATACCGACCCTTGGTCAACGTGTCAAACTATGATGCTCTGGTTCCCCTCCATCGACAATATTGGACGCTCAGGAATGGCGTACAAATTTATGGTCATTACATGCATTGTTTTATCAATATAAACTCTAGTTTTCACAGGAAATGCAGTTTCCACGTGTTAAATGCGACAGACTCTTTTCAAAATTAACAATTATACGTAGGTTAAAAAAAAATTTAAAGTTTGCTTCCTTAGGTTAAGGCAACAATGCCCGTGGTTAGGTTTAGAAAAAAACATGATTTGGCTTAAAATAACGTTTGTTACTAGCGTAATGTAATGTCACGTGACTTACGTCAAAAGCCTAGTATGCTACACATACTAGCATGCTATGTTGTTACTGAGGGTGCTTTCACACCTGCCCTGTTTAGTTCAGTTCAATATATCTCAAGTTCGTTTGCCCTCTGAGTGCAGTTCGTTTGGACAGGTGTGAACACAACAATTGGACTGAGACCTTAAAACAAACTCTTGGTGCGGTTCATTTGTGGTGAGACATGTTCCGACCTCGATCTTCGATCTTGTTTGGGTTAAACATGAGCATGTTACAGTCCTGGAGGATTATTAATGTGCGCCTCCTTCTGTACTGCCTTAATATGCACATTCAGCGCATCCAATGCATCAAAACATTGTTTTCTAGTTGGAGCCGCGCCTCGTTTTCAAACTGTATGGTTTGACTAAAATGAACAATGACAGCAATATAGTCCACGATGACCAGCGCTAAAATCAACCTGCGTAGTTGTCCCTCCATTGTGACATTAGAAAGTGTCACATTTATCTTGCAAGTGTACTCTTCTTAAAAGTTATGTTTACTTCCTGGATTTTTCCCACATGGAAATTCTGACCAATCAAGAGCAGCTTTCTCGAGCAGGCATTTTATCTGGTCCGCTTGTAAATGTTGCCATGACAACATGAACCAACTCTAGGCTTTGTAGAGAAAGTAGTCCCTGATTCGGACCAAAGCAAGCGAACTCTAAGTCTGAAAGCTCCCTTAGTTTCACACGGGACAAAACAGCGAGCTCATGGGTGAAAGTCCAGAGTTTGTTTGACCCATTGACCTCTTCTCCCACTCGCTCTTTATGTTATGATAGTTGCTCGGAGCATCAAAAACTGCAGCCCCCCTGTGCGTCCTATACTGCCGCTAAAGGGCGACCAATGACCAAGTGTCTGTGTTTGACAGGTTGGGTATGAGAGCATGTTGGACCCCAGATTTCATATAATATAGTTAGCCAATTACAGAGTCAGTGTATTTAACATACAGTCGTGGCAGTGCCAGACACTTGGCTCCTTTATTTAAGGGAGATGTGAAAAGAGTAAATTTGCTGCACTTTTCTACACTCCGAGTATTTTAAGCAGTGAAAAGTTTGCTTGCTCATACGTGTTAAAAAAGACACCAGACCGTGCAAAGTGACTGACACTGGAAAAAGTGCAACCCAGATGTCTTATACACACTCACAGTAGAGTGACAGAACATGACTATTTGTAACAGACTTTTTCTATACGATTTGTTTGGTAATATCTAACATTGCTGCCTTTTCTAGTTGCTTGATATTCACGAGTTCATCTCATAACACCCTCCTGTATAGGCACTGTAGCAGAGTGGACTAACTGTATGTGTGTGTGTGTGTGTGTGTGTGTGTGTGTTAGCGGCTGCAGTCGCACTCCTGCAGCCACCCACTGCGTTCAAAGCGGAGCTAACCACATCATTAGGACTGCAGAGCTCATTACTGGTTCAGCAGATATACTGTATAACTCACATCCTCCACAGAAATCCAGCACTGCGGGGGTCAGAGAAGGGATTTGTTGGAGGGTGGGACTACCTGCTCACAGACAGTGTAGTCAGTTGAGCGTTTGATGGTAGGGCTTGGTGACAATTTAGCATGAATCCAGATCAAAGCGAGCCTTTTGTGGCAGTCGCTGTATTCACAAGTGACGACTACAGGATATTGTGAAAGGAAAACTATTGTTCATTACAACTTGAGTTTTATTTTAATTGCTCCAGCAAGTAATTGTTAAATAATTGCCATTACTTTTAATGTTAAAATGAAGTGCAGCACAGTACAGGTACAGAACAGTCTGACTGACTCAGTTGTCAGTTATGCAGCAGTATCTGTTGGTTATACCAGACCAAGTAAAGCTCTAGCTGCAGAACCCTGAGTGAAGGTACGTTTTATTGATTATGAAGCCACCTTTTCATTTGTAAGAGACAGAATGTAATTTCTTCTTCTTACTTTAAAGGTTAAAACGTAATAACGCACCAGAATCAGTGCATTACAGCCACAGTGCTCCAAGCTACTTTATGTTTTTTTGACATTTTTTAGCTCGATAATTGGCTGGACAGACTCAAACTAGAGCGCTGTTGTTACTTGGTGTCAGCACCATACAAACAGCATACAGGATGCCTCTGTCGTGCCATTTGAATGGTTTACTACCTCCTGTTTCAAGTCACATGTTCTTCAGAAAATCCTTTCAGCATAGGAAAAAGCATCTCTTACTTTATGCTCCCAAATTTATTGACAAGGCTTATTACTGACCAGGAAAGGACTCGGTATGGAAGCAAAAAAATGCTGTTGCGACTTAAATCATGTGAGCTATGAAATATAAAAACTTTGAAATGCAGTTATTTTAGAATATTTAACATAAATATGTGTTAATGTTAAAATTTGATATGTAATTGAAACACCCCTGCATTTATAGCTTTGAAATATTTACTATGATATTTGAATTTATGTGGTTTGAATTCCCAAGTGGCACTGCTCAGGTTTTATTAACAGGCCGCTCTAATCGAATAAAGATCAGCAGCACAAGCAGCTTATGTTTATTGTAAGATGGCGCCCTCTAGTGGCCTTAGGACTTATAATAGAAGCAGAGGAGGAAGTGAGGTGCGTGGCATAAAAAGCGACAAAGTGCGTGTAATGTTGTAAAAAGACAGAAGTCTCTATAGGTTGGGTGGTGGAAGGGTCAAACAGGCACAGGACTTTCAGCCAGAAGACCAGTGTTTGTGCCCCAAATCAATGATGGATCCTTTTAATTACACTGATTTATTGACATATATGACGTGATGTCTGTCACATGACATACATGACGTTACATTAGTAACAAAAGGACTTATTTAAAGTTAAACCATATTTTTTTTAATCAAACCTAACCACCTAGTTTTTTTGCCTAAACCCAACCAGTAGGTTTTACAGTGTAATGGCAGCCACTTTATAATTTTAAGGACATGTTTGAAACTGCGATTGTTAGGACGCCAACATGTGTCACTTTGAAGATGATCCTATATGTTGTTTTGGAAGTCAGTCATGATGCTACAAACTAAACTAAAATGGTTAATTTGAATCTAAAAATTCAAATCAAGTAAATTTGCTCAAATTAGATTATTTAAATTCAGAAATGAGGCATAAAAATTTTAACATTCGGGTTACCAAGGATAAGGACGGGGCCTCACTGGAATCGATCAAAGTCTATTTGGTTACATCCTGTCCACCAGAAGGTTCAGATGAGAGACTGGAAACCATGTTTCATTTTGTTTATCTATTTATTTTAAATCTGAATTTGTGAATTTGGGGAAAAAAATTAGTTTAAATTTAAATTTTAAATATGAAGACATGCGCTGAAGTCAAGCCATGTCTATTCAGATAGGTTACAACTTTAAATATTTAAAATGCTATGAATTCACTGATATTTAATTTTAAGCATTTCTTCACTTTCAGAAATTTATTCATATATTGCTAATATTTTTTGGCCTTTCTTTGCTTCCATACATTGACACACAAACACATACACATTATCACCATGCAGTCATTGGCGCCAGTTATTCTGTGTCAGTCTGCTTTAGGTGGACAAATATTATTAATATAAGTTTATATCCTTTTTCCATCATGGTGCAGCAGCTCACGAACTTGCCAAGCCCCTAAAAGTGTGCGAAGTGTGTGTGTATGTGTGTGTATGTGTGCGTGCATGCGTTTGATATAAGTATACTTTGCGTGTGTGTGTGTGTGAGTGCGTGAGTGTGTGGCGCCTTTATAAGAGTGTTTTAATAGACCATGTGAGGTGTTAACACACATAAGATCTTTGTTTACTAAAGCTATCCAAATAATATATTGTATGCTCGTCATATCTTCTTAACAACGTGCACTATGTTTGCATGTACAGTTTTACAAAGGATGCACCAGTTCCTTTTGTTGAAAACTGCGTGTTTTGAAATATAAAAATCTATATGAAAAATTAACTGTACAAAATGGCCTTAAATCTTTCACTGATTTTCTTGGAATTGTGCGATGCCTTCTTCAGAAAAAAAAAAGAAAAAGAGAATTGTTTCAAGGAATTAATGGTTATCTATTTTGTGTCAGTGTTTCTATTGCTTTCTAGTGGATTTTTCTTTGCACAAGTTCAGTTATGGAGAAAAGAATTATCTTGTACTTTTTTGAAACCGTGATTAATCAGAGAAAGCATGGCTGAAGTACTGATTGTCTGATAATACATATAATAGATGACTATTTCTGTATTGAACTATGGATTTTTAAATAAATATTCATATTAAACTCAAAAGTTGCAGAAAGTTTTTCCCTCTGGTGTTTGTCTGTTCCCTCCTCTCTCTTTTCAAAGCTTATTAGAACTAATATGTGGTTTGTTTCCTCTGGTAGGATAATTATAGTACATGAAAATCATCCCACACCAAAAGCACACAAAGCACACGGACACAGGAGCGCTAGCCTCCAGCGAGGCGCTGCAGCAAAACATGAGAAACATATAACGCTCTGTGTTTCACCACCCAGCCCTGGTGTGAATCTGAACCTGTCACCCGCCTGCTGAAGTGGC